AAATTAATTTTTTGACAAAATATTTAGTTCTTTTTTATTTTGTAATTTTAATAGTTTTTTATTACAGACCCAGCTTACAGCACCATTTGACATCGATGGTTTCACATTCGTTACAGCATTTTTCAGAAAAAATACCATTCTGGCTCGATTCATACCTAATATTTTTTACTTGAATGGAAAAATAATTTTGGACGACCTCGCGAAACATTTTTTTTTTCTTTATTATGATATTTCGGGAAAAATATTACATCCATTGTTTCATTATAAAACAAGTTTCCGACGAATTCCGAAATGATAATCGAACGAAATGATTAATGAACTTATTATGCTAAGTTGGTAAGGAAGTACAAAATAACAATTCCGATTTGTAACTCTTAAAATATGAATTTACTTTCTATTTCTATGAACTTAATCACTGACGATTTTACCAATGGTTTTAATATTGAATGATTTGCAATTTATTTATTTTTTAAATATTTAAAAATTATTTCTAGATATACAAGGAAATTTTTGGAAAGTATAAAGTAAATTCCTTCGTATTCACTAGTTTCAGATGACAGGATACTTTATAACAGTGAGAAAGGTTACAGGTTCAAATCTGAGGACAGTTAACTTCATTGAGTTGGCATCAATGCAAAAAAAAATATTTTCTTAACTTGCTGTAACTTATCTAAAATTTAATTTAGGATTCGAAATTTATTTTACAGGAGTTCAATTTAAGCACCGACATTTTTTTAAAAATACAAACACTTACACGAAATAATGCAAAGAACTTATATAATTTAATGTTCTTTACTGATGAAATTTGTAGGAAAAAATAAATACTATGACGTTTTGCACGCATGATAAAAATCATGTTAAGGACTTTAAATAATTTTTAATAAGCAATCGTATATGTTCTTTTTTAAAAGCATACAATAGTTTCTAAAAATTTAAAAAGATCTTTTAAATTTAAAAAAAACAAAAAACAACTGCTTAGTTTTTTGTAATTTTATAAAAAAAATATTTTAACCAAAGAATACGAAATATTTACCAAGTTCTAATATGAATTTAAACAGAATGCTATGTTTATGTATGTTATGTATGTTAGCTAATTACTAAGTTTCAACATAAAGTCGAGTCATCAACAAGTACCAATTGCTAGCTTTTGAAAAAAAAAAAGAAAAGAAAAGAAAACGAATTCTAGTTACAGATAAACACAGTAGCAAAAATAGCGAGTAACTTCCGATGATTTAGATTTTCGATCGTTTTTTCGCATGTATTAAATTCTGATATTTTTAACACGATATTGTAACACCTGAAGTTCGTATTTGAGTAATCAATTAACTTCGTTCAATTGCGATTCCGCCGTCGTAAATCACGTTATCTTTTAATCGTTTTCTCTGTAGCCCCGGTTATAAACATCTCGATACTTTATATCCGCAATTATTGCAACCAACATAATCGAAATCGCGTATTTGAATTTTTAAATTTTCATACGAGTATAAATATTTCATTTTTACAATTCAATGATTGTTTTATTGCAATTTGTCACACGCTTTTAAAAATTCTTGTATGAACCCTGATTTTGTTTGTATTTTTTAGCACAAGCAAATTTTGCTACTTATTTTAAAAAATAAAATCATGCTCCTTCTCAAAAAAAAAAAGAATTGAATTGTGAAAAAGATATTTCAAAGGAGACAAAATTTCAAATAAATAATCGACTAAGCAAACGATTCCAATTTTGAAAGTGAACAAATGGAAAATAGGTATTTTTTCGTTAAGAGAAACTGCAAAAAAAAATCGCCAAACTATTATTGACGCCAATGAAGCTTTATTAATTTCGGTAATAAGGACTGCTGGTATTGCTGTAATGGACGCAGTTCAAGTAAATACTCAAATATAATGCAGGAATTGTATGAATAGGTTTCATAGCCTTTCAAAAAGGATGAAAACTGAAAAAAAAATAGCTTGATTGAAATCACTTTCAAAACATGAACTTCTGACAATAGTTGACCTGACGTATAGCGGAAATATAATTTTTGAAATTAAAATCATTTTTTAAAGAAAATTATTGAAATTTTTTTTTAACATTAATTAATTTGCATAAAATATAGTGTTTATACTTGGTCATTTTATCATATATATTTCTATATACACTGAGCCAAGTAATTATAGACTTTTTAGGTACAAGGCATTAAAATGTAGTGTCACTAACGAAGCTACATTGGCCAATTTTATAAAAAGATGGAAGGATAACTAGGATTTCTAAGTTCTCTCCAAACCAGAAATAGTTTCTCAATAGAGCTATGCGAAGATAGCCCCCGAAAATGAGGAAATTCAAAAATTCAAACTGCATTCGNAATAATTTCTCAATAGGGAAAGTACCCAATTGTGACAGGAAAGGTTCCATGTTCAAGTCTAAAACTGACACGTCATTTTTCAATAATTTTCAACCAACCAGTGAAATAATTTTTGCCATTTGGCAAAAACTACTTTATTATAATAGAATAATTTTTCACTTAAAATTTATTCAATCATGTTAAGTAAAACAAGAAAAGAAAGTTAATAATCAACATGATTTACAGCAGGGATTTTTGAGCTAATATTTTTTCAAGAAAATTATTTTTTGAAAATGCTTTGAATGTAATATTATAGAAATTATTAATAAAGAAAATTATTATTTCAGAAGTAATTTTAGCTCATTTTCCTCAAAATGAAAACTTTCTCTTTCAGCCATGAATTTAACTTATTATGCGCAAACTGGACCACATTTAGTGTATTCACTTTCAAAAATACTAAATTAATATTTCATTTTACTATGGATAACCTGTTATATATGGATTTTATTCATCATTTTGTTAAAAGGTAAGTGGATATCACAATATTTTAATCCTTTAAAGACAGCAAGTGGTACCCTAAGTCTTTTTTCATTTTTCCGTAAGTATTTCATATGAGAGACAAATACTTTTTGTGATAGCATATATGTTTTGTCTTCAGCACTCAAGATAAGCAAAAAAAGAAAAGAAATAAAAAAACGTCTCTTATATAATATATTAAATATGAATAACTCCAAAATTGTAATTTGCGGTTACATGTTTGGAAAAAAAAGCTATATATAAATCGAAACTGCATGTTAAAAATCAGATTTAAATCAATATAAAAATAAAGAGAAACACAACAGAATGGTTTTCCAACCTCCTTGAGTTAAAAAATCACCCCTTTTTTCCCTGACAGGGATGGTATTTACGGTAAAAAATAGAAAAAATGCAATTTTTTTTACAGTTAGTACAAGCGTAAGAAGAAAAAAGAATTTGTAACAAAATATGCATTTTCGTTAAAAAAAAAAAAGTGAGTTTTGAGTAGCGAATTAAAAAACGTATAATATGTTAGTAAGCTACCATCATTTTACAACAGACAGATTATACAAAACAACAACTCTGAAATTATTGCTTAAATTATCATCAATGCCTCGACAACCCAGGGAGGGCCTTGGTTTTCTCAAGAAGTTTCTTCCAAGTTAACCTTTTTCCTGCTGTATTTTTCAGTTTTTAAAATCAAAAGGTCTTTTTCTAGGCCATCTATCGATCTCAAATTCGGCCTGCCTCTTTTTCGTGTGCCAAATGGTCTGGCATTGAAAACTTTTTTTGTGGTACGGGTCTTCGTCCATTCTGACAACGTGGCCTGCCCATTTTATTCCTTGTCGTTTAGTATAGTTAATAATGCCAGGTTCGTTATATGAGTGATACAGCTCTAGATTTGTTCCTCTAAGCCACAAACCATTTTTTTGAATTCCTCCAAAAATACTTCCCAAGACCTTTCTCTCAAAGGTACCCAACATAACCTTATCCTTCCAAGATATGGTCCAGGTTTCACAAACATATGTTAAAATTGAAATTAAGAGATTTATATTTGTTTTTCCTATGAATTACATTAGATTTTACGTATTTTCGAATTCCATTAAAACATTTATTGGCTATAGTAATTCTCTTTTGTATTTCCATTGCAATATTATTCCTGTTGTTGATTACAACACAGATTATCCTATAACAGATAAATTATGCAAAATAACAACTCCGAAATTATGGCTTAAATATATAACCAAAAATTTTTTTTTCCCTTCTTTTTTAATTTACAGGTTATTCAGAATAAGGCTCCTAAAAAAATTAGTATTAAAATACTGAATTTTTTTTTGCACTTCTCCTTGTTTCTTCCAATTAACAGTATGTTTGAAAGTCGTATCACATTGACACCTCTTTTAGTAGCATAAATAGGGAGTCTTTCAATAGACAATCTAGTAAGGTTATCTAAATAATAATCACCAAGCAAATGTCTTTTCAAATGTTATTCTATTTTGTGTTGCAAGAAGTCTTTCACTTGCATTTCTAGCTTTCGCAATAGCAATTAATTTTTTAAATATAGAATACAATAGATGAAATCACTCTCTCTATACTCATTGATTTTTGTACAACCTCAGTAAATAAAAAAAACAAACAATTGTTAACAATTTACGAGGAATATTTTCATTTCAGAGTAAAATTTTTGAGTGAAATTCGCATCTAGGCATATTGGTGAATTCCAAATCATCTTAGAATAAATTTACAAACAAATGTCAATCTAGGAATGATCAACAACTAAGGTCTGAATTTTAGAAGTTTGAGAAAAATAATTTGGAATTCTGTGAAAAAACACTTTTAAGTTTATGAAAATCTACAAGATAATGTACTTTTTTTGTATATAAAAAATAGACTTATGAAAGGAGTTTTCTTAAAATTAAGATCTTTGTGAAATAATTATTAGAATTAATTTAATTTAATTAATTAATTAGGATTTTGCAGAGTTCTTTTTTGAGATTTCTTTTTACATGAAGTTCTTTTCTAAGATTTCTAATATGTATTGAAGAGAGCTAAAGACCTATTTTTTTTCTCTTCTAGAATGACTTCTGACGTGTTATATAGAAAAATTCCAGACAATCATTAAAATTACGACAAAATATGGAAGAAATAAAAAGTCTATGACCATTCAAAGGAGAAAAAAAACTTTTTCTTTTATTTGATCATAACAAACCATGATCAAAATGAGCATACAACTCGGCAACAAAGACTAGAAAATAAAAGTCGCGACAATGTTATTAATGGTACAAAGAAATAAAATTAAAACTTTTATATCTCTTTTCATTCATTTGATTTCTATTCGAAATTGCACCATTTCCTGAAATCAAGTCCACCTCTGTAAAATATACACCAGGAAATAATATTTTCTAAGCCATTCTAAAAACAATATGGCCAAAAATACAAGGATCACAGCCTCATTCTTTTAACATTTGAAAAAAGATAAAAACCTCAAAAAGGTAACTTTTTTTTTAACAACAGAAGCTACAACAGATGCCTGTGCCAACATGAATTTGAGTTACTTGGCACAGAAAGCCATAATAATTACAGTTTGTCTGGTTTCTAGTCCATGGACCATTGTTTATAAGAAACTTGCACACATAATACAGTAAAAGGTAGGTAAATATGTACACACACCATCTGCACAAAAACTCTTTGTGCATTTCACTTGGATATCTTGGCTTCCTACAATATATTCTACAATATGCACAAATATATTTACAACAGAAGCATATAGTAAAAATATAGCGCCTCTAGTTGTTCTCCTTTTGTTATAAAAACAAAATATATAAGTATGGTTTTCTTTATTTCTCCTCTCTTCGTAAGGCTTTGTTCTTCGGCTCTTCAACGTCCGTTTGATCGTGTTTAGCCCAGGCAATAGAGCTCTGCAATTTTCGTTTTTGTACAGTTTTCTTCCTCAACGAATCAGGATTACTTTTCCATTTCCTCTTGCGATCGAATACCTCATCAAAGAAATCTGGGGGCACATTTACAACTTTTGGTTGGGAAATAAGTGAGAGCTCTGCTCTGCTTAGGCGAGGTGCATCAGGTAAAACTCTATATAAGAAAAAAATATATATATTAGTTAAGTGTAATAATTAATTTAGCATGAAAATAAAATTGGGTATTTATCAGTTATCTAGAATAAATTTTTAAAAATATACTCAGTCAAAAAAATAAAGACACTTAGAAAATATATTTAAAAAAAAAAAAATCCAGAAAATATCTGGTTTAAATATTAATCGTTTCCCTGATTATCCAGAGTTAATACAGGCATGGATATATTGCAACTATTTATTATCCCGAGAAATTTCGGACGTAGCAGAATTTGCCAGTACGTTTTGTTTTATCACCTTTTTGCTTGACCGGAAGCAAATAATAATAATTATAATAATCTGCTGTGTTTGGAAGTTTGCCAAATTTTGTTTGGGAGTTTTGCTGTTGGATCGCTCACGTATTTTGTGCGATTGTATAAACGGGGGTTGCTGAATTTGCATAGAAAAAAAGAAAGAGTAAAAAAAAATGACACATCATTTCACTGGCGTTTGGAAAGTATCACTTTGTGTTGTCTTTTTTTTTAAAAACTATCATACAAAAACTTATATTTTACTTTTTTCATTTGTCCGAGACAGCTCGGGATAGTAAACTGATGGTAAATTGAAGGTTTTTACAAAAAAAATTAAATTTCAACTTAAAATTTTTATATTATGTTTTATTTTAGCTCCTGGTATTTATTAATAAAATATTAAAAAGTGTCGATTTTTTGAATTTTTTTTCAAACAAATTGGTAAGGGTTAAATTAAATAACCTTATAATAATAGTATAAAAATTAGCATTATTTGCTAATTTTATTTTAAGAATGAATTAAATCTAATTATTAAAATATTTTTTTCTTAAAAATAAAATGTTGCTGTCACGCAAATAATGAGTAACTTACCTTCTAAGAATAATGACAGATCGTCTCTTTTTTACGTCTTGTGGTCGAATACAATGTGTAATATTATCTGCAGCATATCCACTAAAAATATAAAATTAGAAATAAATTTAATTGTTCAACTTGTAGTGTTATGAGAATTAAGATATAACTCAGAACCATGAGAAATTATTTAATTCCTATAAATCTTTATAAATGAAATTTTTTTTTTTTTTGTTTTTTAAAAGTAAGTAAATAAAAATAAAAATGTAATGGAAAAAAAAGTGTCTTCTTCAGTATTTCATATGCTGAATAATATAACTAAGTCATTTTAGATTGTTTATAGTATATACAATATTGACATTTTTTAAAAAGACTTTTGAATCTCCTCTCCTTTTATAAGAGTCAGACAATATTTTTTTCCAGTCATACATTACTTACTGTAAGAAAAAATAAATTTCATTGTTCTCAGAGGTTAATTATCACATAAAAATGTGATATTTAAGACAGTTGAAATTAAATAATTTATTGAATAATTATTGTTAAGAATCATCAAATAAATAAAGTAATGGAAAAAGCAGATTATGTTTATTTGTTCTAGGATAGATTTGTACACAATGAAAAAAATTGTCAAATCTGTTAAAACTTAGCATATTTCAATCTAGCATATATCGTCTAGTCTAGTCTTGAAAATCATGCAAAGATTATGCTATATTTTTTTTTTTATAAATTTGCAAAGATGACATCAAAATTCATTAAGGTTTAAGCAAATTTAAATTGTTTTAACACACATTAGTATCAATTACATCACAACTAAATAGGAAATAAAGAAATAGTACAGGAAACACCGCAGAACAGGAAAAACCACAAGAATTTGGTTGTGGGTGATAAACTTTCTTGTAAAAATTAAATAAAATCAGAATAAATTTTTGCACTTCAAAAATATATTTCTAGTAAGAAATTTCATATTTTAGAACTAGGGCACATTGATTTAAATCACAATTTAAATAAAAACATTTTTTAAGAAAAAATCTCCAATTTAAAATTTTACAAAGCATTCTCAAAAATGTAAATTTTTTGTAGATATACTGCTGTGTTCATAAGTATAAGTATCAATTTGCATAATTACATTATTTGGTGTGTAATAAATTGTAGCACTTTTAAAATCACATTAAAAAATCTTATCATTCCCTTAAATTTTTTAGATTGCAAACATAGAACAAAGTAAAAATTTAATCCAGTTTCCTTTTATATTTAGTTACTCATTGATAAAAAGTGTAAAATATATATATGTTATAGAATATAATATATATATAGTATATGTTAGTGCTAATGAACAGAAATCAGTTATTCTGCAGATTATCTAGTTAATGTGCAGATTAACTAGGATGATAATTTACAGTGCTCAAAAAGTGTTTAATTTCTCAAATTACCTAGATAATCTGCACAGCACATTACCTAATAAGCAGTTGTTCGTTAATACGAAAATACAATCTTTGCTGGAAAGCAACGTTTCTGTGCACTTAAATTATCATAATGTAATTTGTTTAATTTTGCAATGACTTAATAATAAAGTTAATTTAATCAATAAATCAGATGATCAAATTTTACATGATCGTGATAAAACAACTAGTTTTTGAGAAAGATCTCTTTTCTTGATTATATTAGTCATTATAAAATGATCAAGAGATTTTTCGGTTCTATATCAGAGGGTGGAAAAATGAAGTCTGAAATTGAGAATATCTTGCAAAATGCAGCAGAGTTGCACATGACAGTGCAATAATTCCACCGAACCCAGCTCACTAGACGTACTCCCAAGTATTTAATCAAACATGTAAAATTATTGGCGCTTTTAAATACTACGGACCGATGGTGCGCCTGAAATAGATTGTGGTTGAATGAATTGTGAAAACGCTGAATAGAACAATGTGAAAAACTCGCCTTTGCATAACATGTGGCGAAAATCGATATGGCAAAGGAAAAAAAAAATCTAATTTTCGAAAAAGGAAAATGAAGCACTTTTTAAAAACACCCCATGAAAGAAGCACCTTCAAGGGTTTTTAAAAACTAAAATCGAAAATAAGCACCTTTAAGCACTTTTTAAAATCGCTACGCACCATGTGTGTAACTTTACATGTTTGTTTGCTTTTGGGTACACATTCCACCGAATACTTGATATTGTTTGCAAACTGGTTTTGGTTGCAGCATAGTCGCAAATGTTTCAGAGTTTTTATGCTTTCAAAAACTCTTGGTCAGTTGTAGGTATATACTCAGATATTTTTTGCACATCTTCATCGCTATCATCAAGAACAGGCATTAAATCAGACATTGAAGGATTTAGAAAAGCTATGGAATATATGTTGCAGCAGATATGCACATCATCGACTTCGATCTTCAGACATGCAATTTTATTCCTATGGCAAACGTTCTCGTTGGATGAAGAGAAAAAATTAACCCCAAGAAGCTTTATTAAACTTATTTGTAATACATTATAGCAGTAGACATTGTCTAACACTATAGAAATCAAATTCAATGAATATACATATGCATATATGTGTGCATGCATAAAAAAAATATATATATACATATATGAGTGTGTCCGTATAAAGAATATATATATAAATAAAATTATATATATAAAAAGAGCTTACAACATTATATTGCTTTAAGTAAACAAATATAGAATATTTGTGACTTAGTATTACTTCATAATAAATCCGATCGACTATGTTAACCTTCATCTATGAAAAAGTACTTCACCATAGAATCGAGTTAACACGTCTTATATACTAGTGAATTGGAATTGTATATTTGTAGTGGTAGATACACTACAAAAGGATTTTATCAAATAAAGTCCGATTTCTTCAGAGGTTTTTACAGTTATTTATTTATGGCCACCATTTTTGGCTACTATAGCTTTTGGCCACCATTGCAGATTTAAACTATACTATACTATATTAGGAAAGAAAAAATACCATTCAGAGTACATAAATCAAAAGAGGGATTACCTAAGTATGGTGACACAGCCTCTATAGACTGGAAGGCAAAGAACTGGATCTGTCACCCTGATAGGTTTGAAGCTAAATTTGCAACCAAAGCTTAGAGCACTGTTGCTCATGAAGGACACTGAAATGATGGGCCTATCAAAGATATGTGCTGGATCAATATGAGACACAATACATCCCCCAGGCTGGTAATCATTTATTGCAACGCTGTTTATAAAACCTTCAGAAACAACTTTAGCCTTAACAAGTGGCTTTATCACCTGAAACACAAGAAATAATCACCACAAGTAACTACAGAATTAACAATTCTTCAAGTAAAATTATAACAACACATCAATTAAAAGGATGCCATACGGCAGAAGAAAATTCTCATCGCACATTCTCTTTCTCCTAATTGAAAATTTAAAGCATAGAAAAAGTGAGTTGAGACAAACCTAGAGTAAGCCGCAAAGTTTCAAATAGTGAAAAGAATTTTTAAAATATCAAAATAAAAATAAATTACTAGATAACTTAGGACTATGCAATGGTGAGGTTCTCTTCTAATAATTTGTTTGCATTTTAATATTTTTTTCAGCAATTGAAATTTCAGAACTTACGCTAAGTTTGCTTGAACTTACTTTTTCTTTCTTTTAAATTAGTAATGAAGAAAAATGAGAATTTGCAATGAAAACTTATTTCCACGATATGGCGTCCTCTTAAGGTTCATATATTTGTGTAATAAGCTATAGAGGGACAAAGTGCAGACCTTCAGAACACCTGAACATAATGAAAAATATTAATTAAGTTTTTCTTTTCTTTTTAGAGAAAATGAAACAAAATATAAATCTTGAATTGTGTATTTGAGCGTTCACTTTTTGTCATGCCAAATATGTACATACTATTGTAAATCAATGTGAATTTTCATTCAATTTTCAGGGGTCTGTCCACATTTTTTTAAAAGGTCCGTTTTTGTAAAATTGAGGAAAAATTACTCTTAATTTGTGAATATAAAATAAACGTTCAGTCACATTCTTTCAACCAGGATCTGCTTTTCTGAATTTGTGTAAATAAGGTCCGTTATTGCAAATAAACTTGTTCAAGGAGTTTTTAAATTGTAAAGACATACAAGATTATGCTCAACACTGTAAAATTATAATTAAGAAAATTAAAATGTAAAAAATAAACAGTAATTGAAGCTACTAAATTAGCGATGAAACATATAAATATTTGGTATTTAACAGCCTATACTGCTGAACATAGAATATTAATTTCAGACGAATAAAGGAAGAAGTGTTTGCCGAGGACAAAATTTAGTTCATTTGCATCAGTCTTTCTTTCCCCCTTCCCTTCCTGGGTAGGGTTTATTCGATTAACAAATCAATAATGAAGATAAACAAATTTGTGAAGCGTCCGATTAAAAGATAAATTATTTTGTGAAGGGTCTGTTTTGAAGTTAAAATATTTTGTGAAGGGTCCGTTTTTATGAAAAGATATTTTGTAAAGGGTCCATTAACGGACCCAAATTTCTTCTAAACAGACCCCTGATTTTTCTGACGGTTATCGCTACAAACTTCTACATGGTTTCAAAAATTGCAGCAACAGGGTCAGTTGGGCAAATCACAGTACTTTCTTTCATAAATTTATTACCAGTTCAAAATGTGCGTAGTTTTACTAATTATTTTGGCCATATCAGATAGCTTAAACAAAACCTTTTTAATCTTCTTATTAATTTTAACTTAATTATATTATTAATAAATTATAAACTTTAACTTTTTTAATCTTCAAAACTTATAAATTTTTTCCTAAAATTTATTATTTTTCTCTAAATTTAATTTCAAGACGGATGTAACTACCGAGTAATGGTTTTTCTACTAGTGTTGATCCTGCGCATGGACCAGCTACTTATGATATCAGTTTCATTTCTATAAATGATAATAGTTATACAGTACAAAGTCTTATATCTATGTGCCTGAAATTTTTTAACAATAAAAATAAAAGAATCTTTAAAGAAAATAAACTTTTTTTGTCAAAAAATTATTTTAATTTTTTTAAAATATCTTCTTACTAATTTTCTTACATATACACAGTGGCGTAAAGGGGATATTATCATTATTTTAATTATTTGAATTTATTTTAATTTTTTAAAATTATTTTCATTATTTTAATTTTTTTAAATTATCTTCTTACTACTTTTCTTACATATACACAGTGGCGTAAAGGGGATATTATCGTATCGTGATCTGTCACACCAACTACAATTGCCAAGGTGCCAAATAGGCACTTTTTAAAAAACAAACAAACACGTAGATATTTGCTCGGGGATGGCTACAAGTTATACCCATGGAGTTAGTCTCTTTCTGTGATGTTTTTTATTTTTTTAAAGTTTGCCGCGGGCTGCTGCCTGGAAGTTGCCAAGACTTGGCGATAATTCTGCCACAGATCAGGATATAGAAATCTCCCTGCGTAACCAACACCCATGAAACTCAGACGTCGCAGGAGAGACAAGCTCTGAAAAAACGTATTTTATTTAGAAGATATTTTTTAACTCATTCCATTAATAATAACAAGTTCTACATGGACTCCACAATATTTTTGGCCAGTAATATTACTGAAAGCATTTTTAGTAGAATGTACATTTGTTAAACGGAAGATTCTAGTATCGATACCTGTGTAAAAAAAAAAGTCTCCAAATTTTAGTGTATACTGGTTCAAGAGACTAAAAAAAAAAAAAATAGCAGAAGAGGACCAATTCAAAGGGTATAACTCGTAGCCACCCCTTGACAAACTTCTATAAATTTCCTTTAAACATTCCTTCAATTTAAAAACCTTTTGGCCCCTTAGTGATTGAAGTTAACGTAAACATGCGCTGATACTGAAAAGTCCCCAAACAAAACATATTTCCATCAAGTATAAGAATTATGCAAAAATATCACATGCAAACTGCCTTAAAAACAAAAACTTTTCATAGTTAAAACGAAAATTCCAATTATAAAATTTTTTAATATGTTTAACAACGTCTCAAATTTAAATATTTTTACCAGCTGATGCACCCACAGCGGTATTTCATCAACTTCTCCAACGGGATATAACTTTTCCATACCGGGTCCTTTCCTCAGAAGCTGGGAGCCATACGTATAACCTTCACCGAAAAAGTATTTATTTCGTAGAGGTGCTCTATCAACTGTGTACTTTTTATACAGACCCTTATCGCCTGTAGCAACAACTTCATCAATTTTACTTTCAATTTGGCTACTTTCCTCGTCTGAAAAGAGTCGCCTCTGTTGTATACCTTCATGCAACTTTCTCAGAGTATCGACGTACGAATCTGCTTCTCGGTCGTAATAGTAATTCCTACGTTCATTTTGTTTATTGCTACTGTTGGCATCATGTGTCGACTGTAATTTTTTACGTAAATCTCTGTACTCTGCAGCCATATTTTTTTTAAATATTAAATGAACCGGTAGATACTTGATTATTTGGAGGTATGCTTATGATAAATATTTACTACCGACTATTGTTTTGAATTCAAGCGATTCTTGCCAGAAACTTCCACTCAAAAACAAAACTTTAGTTGAGAAGTACATAACCTGAACATTTCAAGTAATTCTAATGACGACTTAAAATATTTTTGGTTTTTATTTTAAAAATGAAATAATTATAGAATTTTAGAAAGTATAATAAAACAAGCATCTTAATATCTTTACTATTAATATTTTAAAATACTACACAACTATACAAGCTACAAGCAAATATCAGTTTATGCATACATTAGTCTAGCTGTTATTTATTTAAAATTTTCCTGTCATCATGTTAATCTAGTTCTGTTCTTATCAAATTGTCAAGATCGTCCTCTTATAAATCGTTAATTTGATTCATTATTTGTTTTGATTTTCATTAATTTTAAGTCTTTCAAGTTGTCTATAATGAATAACATTATGAATGTGTATAACACATATAGAAATTCTCTTTTTTGGATAAAAATACCTCATAGATATCTTTCAGTAGGTTGTACTCTGATGCTATAAGGAAAAAAAAATTATATTTTATTTGCTTTGTAATTTATTTTGTTTATTTGTTGTTTCAGACTCAACGTAGTAGATCCTCTCCAGTTTTAATAAAAATAAGAATGAATATATATATATATATATTTTATGAGTATAAATTTAAATTTCTTTATTAATACCTATTTGCGAAAACAAAAATTTCTCCTCTGTTTAACAGGGAATTAAGGAAAAAAATATTATCTTGTGGTTTCCCCAGAGACTGGTTTTGAATTTTCTCCATTTGAGCTTCTTTTTTTCCTGGTTCCTCAAAACATGCTGATATTTTCGACAATTCTTTGTTCCTTGATTCAAAACATTCTTTGATTCAAAACATTGGAAGTACTTCTATACCAGAGTTGGAATAATTTGATTTTTTTCTAAAAGAAAAATGATATTGACCAGCAGTTAGCAATCTTTTTCCTGGAAAGAAATTCTAAATGCCTTATTGCTTTGCCGATCGAAAAAAAATTAATTTCAATTTTCAGACATATGTAATTAAAAAACAGAGAACGATTACTGCTTTTGTTGTTAGTAGTCACCCTATATTATAAAATGAAAATAGTGACTGCGTTAGTTTCTCAGTTAGTAATTTTATTTGTTTTTGGTACTTAAAATATAGAGAAATCACAAAACGTTTTTCTACATCTAAATTAAGTTTTCACTAACTGTGGTGTTTTGACCCCGTCATTATCTGCAGCACTGTAGATTATTTTCCCACTGTGTATATTATTTTTCCTCCCCAGAAAAAAAACTTTTTTCAAAGCCCCGTAGCAGAATCGCTGCGAAACGGCGACAATGTCGCAGAACGTTATCGAGTTGTTGCAGAAAGATTTATCTTTTGGAAAGTACATAAATTTTTTTTTCTGCAGAAATTTTCGAATGATTTTTATCTTTTCTTCAGCATTATATTCAAAAGATGTCTTTCTCATGCATCGGAGTGAAAAAAATGCTTGTGATTTTTCTATTCTCCTTTGATAATAATGAAAAATAAAGAATAATGAAGTAAAAAAATTCGGTTTTCTTTTCTGCAGAAATTTTCATTCTAAATTTTTTAATAAAGTCATTATTACTATTGATTTCCACGTAGTTTTTAAAATCCGATATTTTTATTACGATATTATTTATTACAACAACTGAATCTCGAAATGAAAACACGCATTTAGTCTTTTCATCATCCCATTCGCGTGGTTTTGTTGTCGATTTTTCTCTCTCCGGTAGTTACTGCTACGGATTTCACGATTTTTTAAATTATTTTTTTAATATGATACTGATTTACAAAATGCGAAAGAGGAAATAATTAGTGTGTTTTCCCCCTACAAAATGCGAGAACATCACCCATAATATTAGAATAAAAAAATTGCATATTTAATTCAAAATTTTTTTTATTTCATCCAAAAAGAATTATTATTATTTTTTTTTGAAATTTTGACGCTTCTGTTACTTTAATTTAGTAACATGTATATTTGTTATTTTTAAAAGTATCTTACAGAAAGATATTATTATTAGAGGTATGCCGCAGAAAGCCCGAAAAAATTCTGCCACATTGTTTCAAAGCAACTATAAACTAAGGGATATCTAATTTGAAGTATTTTACAAAATAAAATTTTTTTAATACGTCTATAGGATTATACATTTAATCAGTACAAATTTTATATTTTGTCCTTACGTAGTTTACTCATGTTTATTCCAAGTCAATTTAATTATATAGGGTGACCCGGGGTAATTCACGATCACTCTGTTTCTGGGGTAAATAATGATCACCTAAGTTTTATTTTTTAAAAAATTATTATTTTTTAAATTTGAGACATGGACAAGAAAGCTTGTACACTTTACTAAAGTATAACTACATTTACTTAATAATAGTTTTTTGTTTAATTTAACAAAATAAGTATCTTTTAAAATGCTTTCTGCATTTTCCATTTCAAAGATGGGTTTCAAAATGTGCACATTTCTGCAAAGATCCCCCTCCTTCTCTTAATAATAAATATTTTGAGTTACTTTCTTTTTCTTTGATATAAAAATAGTGTAAGCTTTTGTTTAATTGTTTCACATCTACTGTAAACATTATAATTGATTATAGGAAACTATATCAAATGTTGCCCCCTACAGATGGGGTAATTATTGATCACTGGGGTAATTCCTGATCATTGTCATTTCTTCTTATAAATAGTATAAAAAATAGCTAATAAATAGTCAATTGTCTTTTCTTAAATAACAGTTCATATTTATTAAGTGGAACAACTATAAAATATATTTTAACTATAATCACAAAATTTGTTTTTAACTGTATACAAGACAAATGTGTTCTGATATGCACCATTTCTAGCTTGTCTTACCTTGCTTCTATCTTAATTTTATGTGTGTACATTGTTAGAATAATTTTTAAGTTGATAAATTAACCTAATATAAATATGGTGAGAAATTATAAGCCTAAAAAGGATACTAAGCTTCTAGAAAGCAAAAATAGTGAATTTCTTTTAATGATTGAAAATGAAAATTTCAGTGTGAGAGCTGCTGCCAGAGCTGAAGTGTTAATCTTTATTCCGGCTTTTAAATAAAACGTTTTAATAGCTGCTGAAAAATATCTCTTTGGTTTATTTGTTTGATCTTAATGTCTTATTTGTTAATTACCATTGTATAATTATTATTAAACAGCCCTTTTACTGTAAAAACTGGTGATCAGTAATTATCCCAGAAATGATCAGGAGAAGGGGTAATTCCTGATCACTTAAAATTTAAAATCTTTTAAATTCTGATTAGATTTTCAAACAAAAGAAGGTAGCATAGGACTCATCCCATATGGCCTCAAATTTCCAGTAAATATTAAAATTCTACCTTGAATAGTTTTTTCACAAAATAGATGTTTGCATTTTTTGATCAGGAATTACCCCAGGTCACCCTACAATATAAAATAGAATATTTCTGCTCTTGAAAAATATATGGTAATATTAAATTGGAAATGTCATTAAATTAAAAACATTAAAATTTACTTTTTTAGTTGAAAACAAATTTAGTGTATGCGCTTTTCCAACAATTTGCAAATGATAGACTTCTTGTTAGTTGAAGATAATGGCTTTATTGTCATTTAAGTGTTCATAATGTTTTCTGAAAAATAATATTTTGAATAAAATGTGGGTACTGTACCATCAGACCCTTATCTTATTTCATTTTAACTGATAAATTTTGTAGACGTTAAATGCCTTATTTGCTTTAGCTTTTAAATTTGTTAATATCCTATAATAAATGTTCAATATCAATTATTGTAAAAGTATTGCAAATACATAATGAAATTTTTTTCCTTTTTCATAGGTCACAAGGACTAGTTCTAAGTATCATGAGTAAGAATTATTAAAACTTATTTGGTTGTAAATTTATTTAGTTATAAGAACATTCTATTTGTAGGTAATAAATAATTTATTTTATCTTTTTGATTTTGATATTCTGATGTTTTTTGTTTCATGGAAAAAAAAAAATACTTAAAAATCAACTTATTAAAAATCAACTTTGTTCCCTTATATAATGAAAAAATTTGTTTATTTTCAGTGTTATTTTCCTTAACAATTTATTTGCTTTTATTTTTATCATTTACTAAACAGGAGATAGATTTTAAAGTCCCAGGATAAAAGTTTAATTTAACCCTTTTCCTCGAAACATAAAAAGTCCTATTTTTGTATTTTTTTAAATAAAGCCTTTTACAGAATTGTAGCTTACACTTTAATTCTTGGAATGTTTTTTTTTTTAACAAACATTATAAAAAATTAAATTCTAGTTACATCAGTGCTTGCTTCTCCAGAAAACTAAATACTCACTTGTTTATATTATTATTTACTTTACATAAATAAGGAAATTCTCAGAAGTTTTTGGTCATCATTATATCAAACTCTTTTTCAGTAATGTTTCAAGATCAGAGCTTTACAATGTTCTGCAATTTTTTCTAGATGATAGCACAATATACAAACAAAGCCTATAAAAGAAATACTGGAATAATTTAAAATTGTAGCTTTTCATTATATGCCCATGAAGTTTTAAAAGTTGTATAAAATTTATTTCGTATTTTAAATTAGTTATAACATTGTTTTATTTATTTTATATTTTTACAGGTTATCAGGCCAGAACGTGCAATATTTACAAAGGAGTATTGTAGATACAATGCATTTTCAAAACAGTTTACCGCGTCTTCCGATTCCTGAGCTTGAAAAAACATGTGAAAGGTATATAAATTCAGTTAAGCCTCTCCTCACTGCTGATGAGTTGCAAAAAACAATAGGAATCGTTGAAAATTTCAAATCCTCTCCTGGAAAAGGTACAATATATAGTTTGCAAAAGGTTCATTTTTTAATATTTGAAAAAATTAAGGAGAAAAGCTCATTTTTTACAGGGTGTGTAGCATTTTTAAAAAGTGCTTAAAGGTGCTTATTTTCGACTTTCGGTTTTTAAAAGCCCTCAAAGGTGCTTTTTTTCATGTTTTCATGCAAAGGTGCTTTTTTCACCATATAAATTTTTGCTTCGAATTACTAAAAAAGTCTGTTTTTCACATTGTACTATTTAATGTTTCATAATTCATTCAACCACAATCCATTTCAGCGTCCTTTAGGTCCATAGCGTATGAAAAGCGCCAATCATTTTATGAAATACCTGCAGGTTCGAATACTGAGTTGGATTCGGTGGGAAGGATTCATTCATTCTCATGAGCAACTCTGAAGAGAGATAATCTTTTTAAATAATTGTTAAATTAATTATTTCTAATTTGAATAAATTTTTTTTTTACATAATTGTGTAAAAGTGCTTAAAATTTTTTTTGAGTTCTTAAAAAGTACTTAAAAGGTGCTTATTTTTTGCTGAAAAATTTTACTACGCACCCAGATTTATTAAAGTCATAATTAACCAAAATGATATGCAAGATAAATCTCGGGGTCTAATGACAATTTTGTTTTGGTATATATATATATGTGTGTGTTCGTATGTGTCTTATACTGGTGTCTGTCTATCTGTCATTATATTTTTTATTTATGTAGTTGGAAGGCTTTCAAAATTGGTGGACTGCTCAACTAAATAGAGCAGAGAAGATTGTGCTCCGGAAAAAAGCGGATTTCCGGATTTTTCGATAACTATGTTCCGGAAATCCAGGGTACAGAATTTTCAAGAAATCATCGATCACACTTATGCATTAAAAAATCTTGTATATTTTATTTAAAAATATTAGAACTAAAATTTATACTTGGCATCTCTTTCATTTGAAAATATTTTTTCTGGTAGACTAATAAATGTGATTAGAGATAAAAATAAACTTATACATAATTATTGATTTAAATTATGCTGCATATAATTTATTTAGAATTTCATGTTGTGAAAATATCAATGATTTAAATTTATAAAGACATTAACTTTTTTAATTGAGTCATTAATGATTTTACTCAAGAAATTTTCAAGATTTTTGAGTGGGGCTCACAATCACCCCTGCGAACACATAATTTATTTTTTGAAGTTTCCGAATAAATTTTGTGATTTCTTAATTAAAAATAAAGACATATTAATTGTGAAATATGCTGTTACATTAGGCTGCAAATAGTTAGCTTGTAGCTTAATGTTGTAAACTATGGATAGTTTACTGAATGTAAACAACAACAAGCTTAATAAAACCAGATGAGATTTAGAAAACCTCTGGTGTATCCCTCCTCTCTTATGTTTGCTTACGAGGCGAAATGCTCTAGGAAGTTTTATTATTGTGATTTGTGTTTAAATTTATGCTTAATTTTACCATTTATAAGACTTTTCCGTAATTTATAAATTTGAACAGGTTATGAGTCTAAACCAAATTTAACAAAATTAATATCACAGCCTAAATAGAGTGAAGGGTTGGCCATATTTTGAGTTTTATCCCTTATTTGACTTCCCATATACAAAATGATGACTGGTGTATGCTGAATCTGCGAGGTCACAAAGTCCTCCTCTTAAAACTGACTGTGACGTATCTGTGTAGTGCAAGTCTAATTCTTGGTCATAGATGCCGCCTTTGGAAAACAAGAAGCACACCCCTCTGCCTTGTTACTATGGACAAGGGTCATAGGACAACAACAACATCGACTACTATTTTCCTTCTGCTATTGAATTTTTTCATATTCAATTAATACATGTGCGGCCCTTGCAGTTTCCTGAATTATTATCGTGGCCTCTGGATGGCAAAAGGATAAAGACCTCTAGATCAGTGGTTTCCAACTTGCAAAATGCCGGGGGCCTCATTAAAAACACCAGTCAAATGGTGGGCCGCAACTTTATCAAAATTTTATATAGAACTCTTTTATGTTTGAAGGAACAATAAATATTACTGTTGGATTTTTATCAAGTTGTACAAAACAAAAGTATTGAATTACAAATTTCACAGAAACAAAGAAATTAGGGGTTTTTTTTAACGAAGAAAAGTACCTTAAACCCATATAGATTTTTGCGAAAATTTTCCGCAAAAAAATGACAACTATATATTTTAGTTTGCAGGCCACAAAAAAGACTGGATATGGCCTGCGGCCGGCCAGTTGATAACCACTGCTCTAGATTAATATGCTTACTTGTAGATTTTATAATATATCGATCTTACTTTACATATATTGTAAAATTGATTATCTATAATCTGGAGTAATAGAATTTTAAATCAAATTTGTGAAATGCTGAATAAAATATCGAAGTATAAATTCTGCTGACATTTAAAATATAATAGCAAAATCTTCCTAGAAAATGGGAAAAGTTAACAACTATGTTATTTATAGTTAATTCCAAGAAAATTTCTCCAAGAAGTTGCTTTCTATGTCCTTTTAATATAATATGTAAGAATAATTGTAGGTGCTAATTTATGATTCAATCAAAATAGGAATGTCATTCTGCAAAATGGAAATTTTTCCCCTCCCAAAAATATTAGTTTGTGATGATCTTGAATGTTAAATTGGTCTTTTCTTCTTGGATATATAATTGATTTTGAAAAGTGAATTAAGCATAAAATATAATTTTTTTAATGAAATGTAATGATTTATTCTTTTTTTAAAATATTTATTCTTCTTTTTATTTACAGAGCTTCAAGAGGAGTTAAAATCTGTTGATGCAAAAAACAAGCATACTAGTTACATATCAGGTATTTTTTAAATTTCTTTTATTTGTGGTTTCAAATGATTTTTTTTTCATGTTGAAAAGCTTCATAATTAATAATTATTTTAAAGTATGCTTCATTAAATTGATCTATACTAATGATACTGAGGTGTATAATATGATATATATTGATTGGTTGATTTAATTGTATTTTCTATGTTAAAGCTCAATATTTACAGCAGCTGAAGCTTAGACCATTAGTCGTCCTATGCTTCTTTATTCAGCGCTTTTGCCAAACTGTGCTTTGTGTTAGTACTGATTTATAAGAATAAATAGATGTTTTTACCTTAAAGTTTCTTGCATACATGTTATATATTTAAAATTACACAAAGTTTATCAATATATTTTTTGCAGAAGATCGATTTTATTTTTACTATTCTGTCAAAATTAAAATTTTTAGACTTAATTATTAAAAAAACTGCATTTGTGATACGACATTAATTTTAACGGAGAATAAATGTTTTTCAGATTGACTAAATGCTGCTCTTATTTTTGATCTGTTGCAAATTGTAGCATAAAGTAAAATTAAATGTGTCCATTACATCTCTTTACTGCTATCGACTTAGATCTCTTAATGTAATATGCTTAATTTATTCTTGCAATATTATTGCGATAATTTCAACTTAACACGTTAAAGTGTAATCCATGAATAACTTGTCTCCTCTTAAACTCTTGTTGCACAAAATATGAAGTTGTCTATTCCTTATAAGATAAGTAATTGCGTGCGGCATTTTAGAATTTTCAGGGCCTGTGCTAAGTACTTAAAATTATTGGCCATAGATAAAAAATATTAGCCAAATTTTAAAACTTTTTAACAAAAAACAAGTCTTTGATTATTTTTCCCATGGAAAACTTCAAATCAAAATATAAGTATACTATGAATTAAACTATTTTATAAAATGTAAATTCAAATCAAGAGTCATTTTACAGTTGAGGAGGCTGTAGAAAAATTTTGAAGTCTTTAGAAGAATTTCGGGTTACTTTTTCACTGCCAGCTGAGTGCAGTATCTATCATTGTATTTATCATTGAAGAGTGGCAATCTATAAGATAAAATCATAGTTAAATTTTTTTATTTTAGCAACCCTTTGAGTTTTTGAAATTCTACGGTAAGTTTATTTTAATAAATAGTATGTTATTTTTATGGGAAAACATATTATTTTCTAAAATAGTTAGATGATAATATGCATCTTGTTGCTACTTAATCTGTTTCATTGACAACTGTAGGTAAGAATTTTGACACAACAATGAACATGTTCATCTGTATTTTACTGTAGTTTGTTTGATGCTTAAATAATCTCCTTTGTTGGTTACATTATCTGGACTTAATATAATTCTAATTGGTTTTGTGAGGTATTTTACAGAAATTATACTGTAATCAAATAAAAAATACAGGATTTGTTCAGGAAAATTCATTTTAACTTAAATTTCAGGATTTAGGAGAATATATATATATTTTTTTTTGGTAGAAAAAATGGTTTTCGAGTAATTTTGCCGAAACACAATTTGTTTTGACTAAATTATGATTTTATTGCCTTTATAGAAGTGGCAAAGGCTTAGCATGGGCTCTGATTTTGGTGTATTTTCTTTCAAAAATTTTAAATTTATATTTCTTTAAGGTTAATTTAACTCATTGTTTGCAGGTTTATTTTTTCATAATCCACAGGTAAAACTTTATCAAAAATAGTGGAACTTTTATTTTAATTGAGTACATATTCTGTAACATCTTGCAACTTTGTTAATTTTTTGTTCAATTTTTTAGGTCCATGGTTTGATATGTATCTGAAATCTAGAACTCCTCTTGTTTTAAACTATAATCCTTTCTTGTCTTTTAAAGATGATCCTAAATCTGAATTCAACACACAAGTAAATTGTTTTAACTGATCTTTTTTTTGTTGTTGTTGGTTTTAAAAATTTTGTCTCATAAAAAAACTCATTTAGTTTCTTTTAATTTTAAGATAATTGTAAAAACTTTATTTCATAAATTTTGTTTGCATACAATAATTTTTCTTAGATTTATATTACTGTTATGAAATAGTTTTTTTAAACCGGAAACTGGGCATTTGAAACCACTGAGCATTAGGCCAAAATGTAGATGCAATCTAATAGTCTTCTAAATTTACTGATTTTATTAGAACTCTATGAATGAAGTCTGTGAATTTTCTAAGAAAATCTTTTGAATTACTGTGACGAAAAATACTACAATACATGCTTAGGATATATTTTGCAATTTACTCTCACATTAAAAAAAATCTCTGCTTTGATTATTAAAAATAAATGCTATAGGCTTCATGTTGTTTCTAAAGATTTTAGTTTCTACTATGGAACTATGAAAAGGTTTTAAAAACTAGGTTTTATTTGAAAATTGTTTTATAGTTCATTATTATAGTTCATGCTCCTTGCATGAAATACCTTGTGCGAAATTTAAGATATCAAAATAAATTTGATTTTAGAAGTTCAAAAGTCATACATTTCTACAGCTCTTTTTAATTAAATCATATCTATTGTAAAAAGTATGATTTAAATTCAAAAATTTTATGTGAATTATTTTTTTAACTTTTAAGGATAATTAGAAACATATCTCGATATTTTGTGTTAGTAAAATTAACAATTTAATTTGTAATATGATGTGTCACTTAATTGTATAGATTAAATTACCCATGTTAATGAAATTATCCTTTTAATAATATAGGTAATTACTTTGAACTTCTTAAATATGTATTTTAGACAAAGGTAGATTTAGGGATTCGATTATCATCAGATAAGCCACACTGCCACAATTTTAGCCTCTAATAAGGATAAATAAGGCATATTAAGCACAAAAAAGACTGAAAGCAAAACAAAATTTGTGACATGCGAAAGTTAACTCAAATCTTTCTAACGTAAATGTGTGAGCTCAAAAAGAAAGTGGAAAATGCTTACTGGCTGCAAGCTGAAAGGATAGGGAAACACTATATTTTGATCGTGCCGTGATGGTGACCTCATCAATAATTTTTCTCTTTTTCTCAATTAACATGGTTCGCCCACTCATCCATTCCCGAAAATAATCTCTTGCAGTTGTGACTTTCAATTTCCATTTGAGCTTTATATCTTTTCCTTGCTGCATGATTTTCTCTTTTTGCTTCGTATGATTGTTTTAAGCCAAGAACACATTTTTCCAAATCTCCGCAGAACGCAAACAAACACTTAATTATTCTCAAGTTTTTTGTTGCACATTTTTAATTGGCGCCATGCAGTCCCGCATTAATCAAAAACTTTTCTTACCACACCATATTTTGATAAAATTTTTTAGTAAAATCTGAAGAAAATGTACCATTTTCCGAACAAATTGATATTAGTCTGCTATTTTAGAAAATTTTCGTTAACATTTATTTTTGACTGAATCCACGTTGATCACAGAGTTCACATGAAAAGATGTGTAAAAATGAAATTGCCAGATATGCCGTGCGTCACGATGATGTAACTTTCAAATACAGATAGGCTGTGGTGTATGTACTGAAAATTTCTGTGCTATTGTTCTTCACATGTTCAATAAGAAATATTTTGTTCTATTGTTTTGGCTGTCAAAAGTGTAAGGTTAAAATGTATGTCAATTCGAACACGTTTTTTCCTTTATTGTTTTAAACAAAGTTTAATGTTAAGAAAGTATTTAAAATGTGTGCATAACTTTTTCTTTCATAAAATAAATAAGTTTTTCGCATAAATATTTTTGATTTTAACTAGACATATTTCTTGTTTTTAGATTGCAAAATTCAATGATTATTCCTTTTGAAAACTTGTTTTATTCTTTATTTTTGCAGTTGTTACGAGCGACAAACATGGTTTTTTCATCATTAAGGTTTATGAAATCTCTTCATAATAATCTCTTAGAGCCAGAGGTGTATCATTTGAATGCTGAAAAAAGTGATACACAGTTTTTTAGGAAAACAATGAGGTATAGATGATTTAAACACTGCTTTACAATTAAATATACGTTTTTAATAATCTGTAATTGTATTTTAATCATTAACAACATTGACCTCTATTGTTGAAATGAGGAGCTTATAAGCAAATGAAACTGAAACAAATTTTAGTTTTCTATGGTAAAAAAAAAATGCTTCCAATGCAGCTAAAACTCTTCAAAAGGTATTCCTCTGTCAATGCAATTCCTACAAAATATTTAATTTAAAAACTGATTATCCTCGCAGGCAGTTAGATTTCTATGACTTAAGCATGCAAAAGGTTATACAGGGTATCTGCGCACCTGGAAAGTCATGAAAAATCATGTAATCAAAATCATGGATTTCGGCATTGAACAAAATTTGTCTTGAAATGTCATGATTTTCAACAAATTTTTAAAAAAAAATCATGAAAAGTCACGGGTTTATGTCTCCCCAAAAAATCTAATTTTTAAAATGGAATTTACCTCCCCCCCCTCCAATTTCACAGTGTTCTGATGTTCCAAATATCTAAATTTGTTGCAAAATCTCCACTCATTGTCCCCACTCAAAATGAAAGAAAGAACATCATTTCTAGAGCGAATTATCTTTTAAACTTCTGTGTTTTCAGAATTTTTTTATTAATTTTATTATTTTATCATTTAATATTCCAGTTTAGGCTTTTTATATTACACTCATTTTTAAGAAGAAATAAAACAGCTATAAATAACTACATATATCTGACAGTATTTAGTTATTTGCTTTTGTATTTTTTTCACTTATTTTACTGCTTCAACTCTTTCTTTACTCCGTATTTTAAGTTTAAAATCAGTAAATATGAAGATGCAGAGTATAATAGTTTTGGTTATACAGTTGAACTCGTTTATAACGAGCTCGGATTTAACGAGAACTCGGATTTACCGAGGGAAACGAGAATATTTGGTTGGATCAATGTTAAGTCTATGGAACAGAAGTCGCTTTTAACGAGCAAGACTTTAGCGAGCAATATTTTTCTGTCTTGCAATATTTTTTTCAAAATNCTTCAACTCTTTCTTTACTCCGTATTTTAAGTTTAAAATCAGTAAATATGAAGATGCAGAGTATAATAGTTTTGGTTATACCTATCATTTCAATTAGTATTATTATAATACTTTCTTAAATTTAATGTTGTGTTTTTTGTGGAGAAAATAGTAACTTCGGTAAGTCAGGAAAAATTCTTGGAATTATTTATGAAAGTCATGGATTTGAAAATCTAAAACGTACCCTGGTTATAGAACATCATGCAAATGTTTGAACAGATATGGCAACTACGTAGGAAAATAGAGAAATGTGTAAGAAGTTAAAAGACTTAAAAAATTTTGGGGGAAAAATCTGCGGTGATTTATATGTTGAAAAACTATGTTACTTTGTGAATAACTCCTCGTACTCAAAAAGTAAGATATTTTTTTCAATAATATATGTTTTTATAATTTTTTAATAAGAAATTGTTCATTTTAAACTCAAAAGACAAGTGTAATTGTTTTGTAATATATTTTAATATCAAGAATAAGACATAATTGAAGAATTAGTAATAAAATTTATGTCACCAGTTACAAAAATCAGGGAAATTTGATAGAATGGTGGAAAACAGCCTCAGACATTTAGTCTGGGGAAGTTCTCATGTCAGTAGAACAGTTGCAATTTTCAGAGCATGGTTTTAAAAGTTTTAAATACTTAAGCTGAAGTAGTTTTCTGTATAAATGGTATATTTTAATGCTTTTTACTAATTAATAGCTTTTCTTTGATTTTCAGGTTGATGCCTAAACGATTTGCATGGTATGGGGCTTATTTGTTCAAAGCCTTTCCACTTGATATGAGCCAGTTCAAAAATTTATTTTGTTCAACAAGGATACCCCATCTAGGAAAAGATGAAATAAAATCATTCCCCGATTCTCGTCACATTGCTGTATTAAGGAATGGAAATATTTATGTATTTGATGCAATTGATGGACATGGTAAAAAAGATAATTTCTCTCTGGAATTGCTATCTTATAACTTTTTAGTTTTTTAAAATAGTGTGGGTTCTTACGGATCTCTCTTAATGTATCTATTTTCAGAGGTTTGCTGTTCTGTGAGTTTAATGTTTTATTTATCCTTTGCGCTATAATATTTTAGAGTATTTAGAATCTACACCATTTTTCTTGAGTATTAAGTGTTTTGCATTTGAAATTAAACTGGTCGAATTTTTTTTTAATTAAACATATTATTTGGTTTTAGGTGATATAATTCCACCATCTCACATTTCCAGCTGCATAAATTACATTTTATCTGACACCCAGCCATCCTCTAAGCATCCCGTTCCTGCACTGACATCTCAAGAGCGAGATACTTGGGCAAAAGCCAGAGAGCATTTGGTGAAAATTGGTAATTCTGAACAGTTGCAGCTAGTAGACAGTGCTATTTTTCTGCTTATTCTCGATGATGAAAATTTTGACGCTGAGAAAGACCTAGTTCCTTATGCACGCCAAATGCTTCATGGCCACTCACATAATAGGTGCTTTTTTTCTATTTCCTTATTACTCTGAAAAATCTTGTTGTAAGGTACATACTTTGAAATATTTGTTTGAATTATTTTTAATTAAGTAATCACCCAATTATGCATGGAGTTTAGTGGCACGACAACCACAGGTAAGGGAATTATGCAGATTAACTGTAAAATAGTAAAGAAAAATTTTTTTTGATTATTTTTTATTTTATTGTATTAAATCTCCTCTTCAAAATTGGTAATTTTTTCTACAACATTTTGTTAATGCTGAAAAAGAATTAATAATTGGCATAATTTAGTAAAAAGTAAAGAATGACTGATGTATCAAAATATATTTGAGCAGAGTCTAATTCAGGTAAAACATTGTGAAGCAAAATCTCACACATATAAAATATTATTGGCTAGAGATGAAATACTAATAAAATTTTAAATCCTTATTTCTTCTTGTTTGATTTGACAGCCCTATGTGAGCCAAGGCCTTCTTCAGTATTTTTTTCCATTCTACTCTTTTTCTTACCAGGGTGTTCCAATTGTTCACTCTTAGAGCTTTGAAATCCTCAACCAACCTTAGCGTGTGCTAACCTCTGGTTGGGGTTGCAAGAGGTTTAAAATTAAAGTATCTGGATGGGTCCATGAGGTAGTTTCGTTCAGCAAATAAAAATTTATGTCTACTTGTAGCATTTTTATAAGCAAGATTTCATGCATAAACCAGATCGACAAAGCAAATAATATGCTCATCGATAATCAAGAGTTTCCTGTATGTTTTTTAATTTTAACATATTGGAAAAGATGGAAGATGAGATTCTGCACGGATCCGTGCGGCAGTTTTGTGCAGCAAATAAAAATTCATGTTTACTTATAGCATTTTTACAAGCAAGATTTTATACATGAACCAGATCGACAAAGCAAATAATAAGCCCATCGATAATCTAGAGCTTCCTGTATATTTTTAAATAACATATTTTAATATTGTTAATGTATTTATAGTAGGGTTTCTAAACCAGAAGGAAGAAATACAGAACAAATCGGAAAACAGAGGGTAGTTTAAATTATCTTTACACCTGGGAATTTATATAGGGAACTAAAGTTAAAGAAAATTGGGGGAAGGAAGATGAAAGGATTATATTGAATGAAATTAAATTCTATAAAAAAATATGATTCTTTAAATCTGAAATTGGAAAAGCATTTTTTGGTGTTTTAATTCTTTTTTGTGTGATTTTCAGGTGGTTTGACAAGAGCTTCTCGCTCATCATCACCAAAGATGGGAAAGCCGCCTTGAATTTTGAGCACGCCTGGGGCGATGGTGTGGCCGTCATGAGGTACTTCAATGAGATTTACAAAGACTCAACAGCTAATCATTTTGTTGGACCAAAAACTTTGCCTGCCAATATTGATCCTTCTTCGCTGGTGAAAAGGTTAGGTTAGTGTTGAGTAGACATTGTTGTACTGATTTTTTTAATTGATATTAATGACTTGCTTTAAGCCGTGTTGGTTATGGGGATACAGCGCTCGCCCTCCAGAGAGGTGAACCAGGTTTGAACCCCAGCCATGGCTGGTGGATACGAATTCTGCATCCGTCTCGCACTGGCCACAGTGCTGAGGTAAAGTATTGTCAGTGGTAGACGGATCATGGGTTAGTGGCATCAGGGTAACGTCAACTTAACGCTGACGCCCAGATAAGGCGCTTGTCCTAAGAAACCAGGCCTTAAGCTATATTTTTAAATTTCATTTAGTAGAATATAAATAATGTTATATTTTCTATTAGTTATTTAGTTTAACAAAGATGTATAACACAAACTGACTTCTCACAACTGTAAAATTTCATTAACACAATAAATACCAATGGTAAGCGTGCACAAACACGTTAGTATACGAAACTACTGCTTGTAGTTAGTGTTTCAAAGTCAGTAGCTTTACCAGTGCCATCAATGCAGTTTCTCATGGCAAAATTTGCAAGTACAAGAAATTCGTACAGCTACCAACATTGAAATATTTTCAATCACTCTATTATCCCATTTTTAAAATCTTTTTTAATATATTTTTTACGATTTTAATATGAGTGAAAAATAATTTTAAGTTTTGATTGTCTCTTAGATTTCCAGATTGATGACCAACTGAAATCTGAAATTAAGATGGCAGAGGAGAAATTCAATGAGCTCACTTCTACTTTGCAGCTAGATGTTATGCAACACAATCTCTTGCATAGAGAGTGCATTAAAAGTTTCAAGCTCAGTCCTGACTCCATCGTACAACTTGGATTACAGGTTTCTATACTTTTGTTATTTTGAAACCTAATTTTTGCATCATCAGATAACCCTGTGGCAGAATCGCAGCGGCGTGGTGACATTGTCGCAGAACGTTACACAGCTCTTGCAGAAAGATTTTTCTTTTGGAAAGTAAAAAAAAAATATTACTTTTCTTTTTTACAGAAATTTGCACGTAATATTTGAACCATGCATTTAGATAATAACTTTTTGATGCGCTTAATTTACACCGATAGTATCGGATATCGATGTAATGTTTCGATTGTATATTTTTGACTATATTATTATTGATTATTGAATTTCACGCGGATTTTAAATACCCCGATACATTTTAAACAATATGGAAAATTCGAATAGTGCATTTGAGTACCATTTACTTTATAAGGCAATAATTCTACTGAATTTTCGGCAGTTATTGCTATTGATTTCTCCATAGTTTTTAAGTCCAATATTTTTTTTAACTATATTATTTATTACAACAACCTAATCTCCTAACAAAACACGCATTTAAGAAATCCGTTTCGCGTGATTTCGTTGTCTATCTTTTTTTCAGCAATTACTACTGCATATTTCATGATTTTTAATGATTTTTTTTTACTGTGATGAACATTTACAAAATCTGAAGAAGGAAATACTTTGTGCGTTCCCCCTCTCCCCTAACAAAATATGAGAATATCACCCATAATATTAGAATAAAATATTATTACAAGTTCAATTTTAAAAAATTTATGAAGTTTTTTTTTGTAAACACAGCGCGTTTCATATTTTAAATTAGTAACATATAATTTCGTTGTTATTAAAAGTATCTTGCACTAGAATTGACTGTTTTTTACCATAGATTGTAGAATGAATTGCATAGCTATGTTCTTTATGAAAGGCAGAAATGTCTGAGATAGGAATGTTAGAACTACAAGTTTTTTCAAGAAGAAAATGAAGTGCAATACCTTTAGATGTCATCGATAACAATGCTGATTGAGCCGTGATGGCCGTTCACTTTCTGAATTTTTGTTATAAAAATACCTAATAAAGATAGATAATCAAACTGGTAACTTTTAGTTTCACATCTCTCGAACTCGGAACTAAATTTTTTGTAATTTCTATTTCTGCTTTAGAAAAAATTCTAAGTTTTGTTTGCATCTCTCAAAATTTCTGCAATTATCCTTTTTTAGAAAAAAACTTTAAATCCCTGTTTTTTTATTTATTATTTTTTATAAAGAAACTGGATTAAAAAGACAATTTAAATATCAGATTTTCATATTTGATTCAAATCAATAACATTTTGCTTCTCTGTATATATATGTTACTGTGAATGACCTGAATTGTTGGTTGTTGACTCCCACCGGTGAATGTTGAAAATCACATAGTCGCTATGGTAAGTGTCCAAAATATATACTAGGTCTAGTTAAGTGCCACTGCCTGGTATACATTTGCCCGGTAAGCCCTACATCAATGTCTTTTTAAGGTCAAGTGCCATTTCCAAGTATGCATTTAACCATTACTTGATACCGAAACACTGATGTTTCTCCTAATCTATCCTCATCCTCAGCAAATATTAAAATATTGAAAAAATATAATAATAGCGACGAATAAATTAACATACCTGCCAATTCTCCTGTTTTTTTAACAAAGACTCCCGTATTTTACGACTTGCTCCTGTTTACCTTATTTGTTGAAGCAATAAAAAAAAATTTTTTTTTTTGGAGATAAAATATCCACTGATATCAAAAATACTTCTCTTATTCCTCAACAGATGGTGCTATTGCCAGTACTGCAGTATGTTGAGTGTTAATAGTTTAAGTAATTATAAATAATGGTTTTAAAAAATCTTCTTTAGATTAAGATTTCTATACAAAGATAGAATTAGATAAGATTTCTATTTCTATATTAAGTTTTCATTAGATTAAGTTTTTTTTTTTACTGCACTAAATGTAAGTGCTTATATAATTTCCAATTTTGAATTTTTCTTTTTGATTTGCATGATTATGCATGATGCATCAAAACTTTACTTGTAGCGTAAAAAATGTCGCTAGTAAAATCTCTGTTATTATATTTCTTCAATGTTGGCAGGTATGGATTAATATCAAATCGGATATTACAAATATTTTTGACATTCACCAAAGCGAGTACGTGATTTTCACCGGTGAAAGTCGACTTTCTCTTGATTTTGGTTATTTGCAGTAACATATATATGAATGTTTGCATAGTTTGCTTTTGATAACATGTTTTAGATGGCCTTTTACAAACTTCATGGCAAATTTGTTGCAACCTATGAATCCTGCAGTACTTCTGCATTCAAACATGGTAGGACAGAGACTGTGAGACCCCTCACCACAGCCACCAGAAAGTGTGTGGAAGAGTTTCACAAGAGGAATACTACAGACTTGAAAGGGTTAATGGTGGAATGCACAAAAGTGCACAATCAACTCACTAAAGAAGCTGCAATGGGTAAGGATGTAGTATTTTTATCCTTTCTATTTGCCAGTTTCATTAACCCACATGGTGCTTATCATTTTTCAAAAGTGCTTATTTTCGATTTTCGTTTTTTAAAATCTCTTAAAGGTGCTTAATTTTCCCTTTTCAAAAATGAGATTTTACTTCTTTTCCATGTCAATTTTCGCTGCATATTATGTAAACTCGTGGTTTTCACAGTTCATTCAACCACAATCCATTTCGGCGTACCGTCGGTCCGTAACGTATGATAGCACCAATCATGTTACTACATATTTGATGAAATACTTGGGAGTCCACATGTGTGTCTACTGAGCTGCATTCGGTGAGCTTCTTGCACTCTCATGTGCAACTTTGCAAGATATTCTTGATTTCAGGTTTTATTTCCCACCCTCTGAAATCGAAACGAAAAATCTCTCGATCTTTCTATGGTGACTGATATGATCAATACAGCCTTTCATCCCTTCAGTGGGTCGATAAATGAGTACCAAGCAAGCTTGGAAACTAAACACTGGGGGGCTCCGCTTTCGGCTGACCTCCAAACCGGAACATCTGCTCCTGCACCCCAGAGCCCAAAGTCAAGAAAACTTAGATGGGCACAGTAGTCCTTGGCCCTCTATGGGCTGTCGCACCACTGAGTTTAGAATGTGATCAAGAAGAAAGAATTCTTTGTCAGAAACTAGTTATTTTATCATGAACATGTAAAGTCTTTGAAAATTATTTTGCATTTTTTTAATGTATATAGTGCTTAAAAATATTTTTTGAGTGCTTAAAAAGTACTTTAAAGGTGCTTATTTTTTGTTGAGGGATTTGGCTACGCATCCTGACCCATTATAAGGTTGTGGGAAGTATCCTTTTCATGAATTTTTAAATGTTGACTGAAAGTTATTTTCTTACATATGATTTGCACTGTCATTTGCTGATGACTTCAGAAAATAAAACTTAAAAAAAAAAAAAAAAAAAAAATGTCACTAAAGGAGTTGCTATGGTATGGATATTTATGTACTATTTTAATTCTTTTCATTTGCCCATATTTTATTTTAATGTAAGTATTTTATTTATGTGTACATTAACCTTTTAACTGTCAAGCTATTTTGGTGATTAAGGTACATAAATTGTCTATTTTTTTTTATTGCAAAAATCAAATGCTTAGTGCAAAATAAATTACACTTAAAAGTTAAAAATTAATATTTTAAATTGCATGCATAAAAGTTTTAAAGTTTCGTATAACCACATTATTTTCTAAAAATTAATTTAATTATTTTCTAAAACAATAAATCATTTACAGGGGTCTGTCCAGACATTTTGTGAAAGGTCTGTTTTTGTAAAATTGTGAAAAAATTACTCGTAATTTGTGAATATAAAATAAACGTTAAGACACATTCTTTCAACCAGGGTCCTGCTTTTATGAATTTGTGCAAATAGGGTCCTGTTATTACAAAAAACTTTTTCAAGGAGTTTTTAAATAGTGAATAGATACAAGATTATGCTCAACACTGTAAAACTATAATTAAAAAAAATTAAATTTTCAAAAATAAACAGCAATTGCTGCTTCTAAATTAGTGATGCAACATACAAATATATGATATTTAGCCTAAACTGCTGAGCGCAGAATATTCATTTCGGATGAATATTGGAAGAAGCGTCTGCCGAAGACAAAACTTAATTCGTTTACATCCATTTTTATTTTTTTCCTCTTGGGAAGGGTTTATTCGATTAACAAAACAATTATGAAGATTTACGAATTTTTGAAGGGCCCGACTAAAAGAAAAATCATTTTCTGAAGGGTTCGTTTTTAGGTTAAAATGTTTTGTGAAGGGTCCTTTAATGGACCGAAATTTCTTCTAAACAGACCCCTGATTTATATAACTTTTCAAAGAACTGGACGCCATTTTGTAATAAAAATGTTGAAATTATTCTATGTTGTTTAGGCCAAGGGTTTGATCGCCATCTCTTTGGATTGCGCATCATGGCTGAAAAATTGAATCAGAAAGTTCCTCATCTCTTTGAAGATCCATCTTTCGTTAAAGCCAATCACTTTGTCATCTCCACCTCTACTCTTTTTGGCTTTTATTTCAGTGGTGGGGGATTTGGGCCAGTGGTCAAAGATGGATTTGGCATCGCGTATGGTTTTCTAGACAATCAGCTTGGTTGTTTAGTCAGCTCTTACAAAACACATCAGGATGGTGCTGCATTCGTGGATGCTCTGCGGTCAAGTTACGATGAAATCTACAACTCGCTCTCAAAAAGATAACACATTGTTTTCTGTAATTCCTGTCAATTTTAAATTTAGGACATTGAATGCTTGCTTTTTAATCCTGTATGATACGACAACATCTACAACTTGTTCTCCACATTTTCTATAATATCCATTAATTTTAAATTTAGGATGTTATATATATTTTAGGATATTATGTATGTTTGTTATTATATATAATATTTTAAATCTTGTATGACAAAGTGCATAGTACTTAAGCAATTTTATCGTAATTTTTATTCAATATCTATCTTTTTATGCCCACCATAATGTAATTGATGAATTTTATATTTATAATTTCCTATTGAATAAATGCAGTATTTTTTATTATTATTATGTTTGTTTTTGTTCTGTAAATGCCAACTTTTACGTATTTGGCATAACATTTTATTTCTATATTTTAAGTAAAATATATGCTTTCTATATATTCCTTGCATTTATAAACTTAATTTATTATCTTATTGACCACCATTATTTAAAAAAAAAAATTAAGCATATATATTATTATGTAATAGTGTCATGGTAGTCCACACAAGCTTTTTCAATATACAGCGTATGTTTCTGCTTAAATTTGTAATTAAAATTCTATATTACTGCCACTGGGAAAAATCATCCTTGAAAGGATTTAAAGTTGGCTGGTATGAAATTCAAAAGCATTACTTAAAAGTGAAATGTGCAGGGTATCTGCACACCTGGAAAGTCATGAGAAATCATGGAAAGTCATGAATTTTGGTATTGAACAAAATTTGTCATGAAATGCTATGATTTTAATTATTTTTTTAAAAAAATCATGGAAAGTCATGGATTTAGGTTGCCAAAAAATTTAATTTTTAAAATGGAATTTACCCCGCTTCCTCCAATTTCATAGTGTTCCGAATATCTGAATGTGTAACAAAATCCCCACTCACAGTCATATTTTATTAAAATATAAAATGTTTTTATCATGTTCTTTAAAAGTTATGGTGTTATTTCAAAAAATGAAAGAAAAAACATCATTTCCAGAGAGAATTATCTTTTAAACTTCTGTGATTTCCAAATTTTTCCTATTATTTATTTTTTAAAAATTTTATCAATTTAAAATTCTAGTTGAAGCACGCCAGTTATTAGCGATTTTTTTTAATTCCGAAATGAGGACAGAAAAGTCAGGAGTATTTCTAATCTTTCGGATGAACAAGAAAAGTATCTTTAGAATGTAATTCTGCTGAAAAAAAAAATTAAAAAAAATTCATTTGCTTTTGTATTTTTCTCAGCTATTTCATTGCTTCAACTCTTTCTTTACTCTGTTTTTTAAATTTAATTTCTATAAATATGAAGATGCAGAGTATAACAGTTTTGATTATACATTTAAATTTTTTGTTGTGTTTTTGTCGGAGGAAATTGTAACTTCATTAAGTCTTGAAAAATTCTTAGAATTAATCATGAAAAGTCATGAATCAAATTTACACAATTTGTAAATCAAATTTACAGAACAATTTGTCTCTGCAAATCAACGCAAAATTTAAAACTTAAAAAAAAAAAAAAAAGCGTGAGAGCATCTTTAGAAAGTTGCAATCATCAATATCAATCTGCTATTTATTTATTAATAAACAAAAAAAGGCATTTGTTGAGAGGCCATACATATTTTTGACAATTTTGAACTCCTCCTCTCTTGTCAACAAAATGAAGCAAATCACAAACCTCTTTACTCATGCTTACCGTAAGAAAGTCACAACCCTTCTCAACTTGCTTTGACTTTTACTATAGTAATCTAATTTTTAGGACTAAATTCAAATAGTATGTGGCATTTAAGTTTTAATGTAATTTGTAAAATTTTGAGTAGAATATTTGTTAAGAAACTTTTGTGTTTTTCTTTTTGTGTTAAAAACTCTACCTCAAACTTTTCGAAGAAATTTTTTTTTTCATTCTGCAAGTTTAACTTTTATTCCAAATAGGACATTTTTTATTTTGATTTTTATTTAAATTTTTAAAATAAAGGTATTTTGAAATAGAAAAGATTTTTATAAAATTTTTGAAAATAAAGGTACAATTTTAATGTCTTACATAAGCAATACTCATACCCCCTCCCCCCTTGTCATATAAATATGCAAATCACAAACCCTTCCAACCAGTTAGGTATTTACATAATATTTGAACAGTTTCCTGAATATATATTGTACTAAACTTTATTTTTCGCTATTTACCCTATGTTATTTGTAATCAAATATCCGCATGATATTAGTATTTATAATATAAACAAAGGCTTTTTTATTTTTTTAGAAATTACGAATGGAGTTAAGTTTTTTTTCTTTTCCTTTTTTTTAACTTCATGAGTCCTCAAAAATGTTAGTAGAAATCTTCTAAGGGTGCAAGAAGGGAAAATATTCATAAAAATATTTCCAAAGTTGTTGATATTTTTGTTTCTGAGAAATTAATTTTATATGCCAGCATCAGAAATTTTCACAAACTATTTCAATAATTTATTAAATCCTACTACATGCTTCGACAAAAAATTTGCATTTCAATTTTGTGGAAAAAATAAAATAAAATTATGCTCCATTTAAACACGTCAGCACAAAAAAGAAACTATGAGTTAAATTTAAAAATGTAAATTTTGCTCTCTGGAATAAAGTAAATTTAGTAGAACACGTAAAAAGCAGAAAAAACGAAATATATATACGTAATTTGTGAAT